GTAACAAACAACTTTAATGCTGGAGCAGGGGTAAACACCGAAGAAAGGAAATAAAGATAAACACTCGCAACTTCGGAGATTAATTCAATCTGCACAACAACCTCAAACCCCTGTTCCCCTGTGGTTGGTACAGATCATCAGAAGTTGACAAATTCATCCTCACAGCCAGTTTTTACAGAAGACTGCTTCCTGAACTCGCCGAGCATGCAGGCAGAGAGATTTGTACGTGGCACACAATGGCTCCGCATACTAGAAACCAGCGTTGCGTGGCATCTGAGCGCAGGCGACCCACAGAGGCGTCTGTTTTCACCGCTTTTGTTAACTGCGATTCAGAAAGAGTATTGTGTGACATTCTGGATTCAGGTAGATGCAAAGCTCAAGTTTTCACATAATCGTTTAAATATGCCGCCACTTCAGATTGGAATTTTTTTATTACGTAATACGTTATATGTTGGTTTTTGTATTGCATGCAACTATGTTGTTTATTTGTATATGCGAACCTGGCTTTCTATCTTGGCCAGGAGACTCATGTACAATAGATTTTAATCTCAGTGAGACTTTTTCCTGGTTAAATAAAGGTAGTAATAATCAGTAACCTTGAATATGGCCTTATATATTATTACAGGAATACTTGGTTCATCGCAGCATTCCACGGTCATATTTTTCTATAATGACTCTAAACTGTATACCTGACCTTCTGATTAATAACATACAATACCAATAACAGTACCATTCAAAAGTTTGAGGTCGGTATGATTTTCAAATGTTTACGACAGACGTCTCGTATGCTCATCAAGTCCGCACTATACTTGTGCAACAATACAATAAAAACATAGCTGTTTTCTATTCTAATATATGCAAAGCTGAATTTTCAGAAGGCTTCAGTGTCACATGATCCTTCAGAAATCATTCTAATATGTTGATTTGATACTCTTTTGATTTGATATTTGATGATTTTTCTATTATTCTCAGTGTTGAAATTAATTGTGCTTCTTAATATATTTGTAGGAACTGTGATTCATTACGATTATTTGATGAATAGAAAGTACTGAATTGTTTTGCTGTCACTTTGATCAACTGAATGCACCTTTCTTAATAAAAGTTTTTTCTTTCACAAGCATTTTTTTTAAATCTTACCAACCCCCGAACGGTAGTGCATAAGCACTTAATATTATATTTATACTAGTGCTGTCAAACGATTAATCGCGATTAATCACATCCAAAATAAAAGTTTTTGTTTGCATAATATGCGAGTGTTTAGTGTGTATATTTATTATGTGTATATATAACATAGATGTATATATTAAAGAAAAATGTTATGTTTATATATTATATATATATATATATATGTATAAAAAATAAAAAATAAAATAATATAAATATGTATACATGTAAATATTTTCAAAATATATACAGTATGTGTGTGTATTTACATACACATAATAAATAAACACAGTACACATACATATCATGTAAACAAAAACTTTTATTTTCAATGCGTTTTAATCGCGATTAATCACTTGACAGCAGTAATTTATACATTAATGTGTATATATACTTGCATCTCATCTGTAATACACACACAAGCAAACACAAACTTAAAAGAATGTTCAGTTCATAAGTTGAGTGAAGTCAACTTTTCTGTTGCAGTCTATACAGCAAGAGTTTAGATGAACCTTTTGATATGCTTAATTAATGAAACCGGTGTGTGTATGAACATCTCCTTAGACTTTATCAATGCACGCCAATCCATACGGAATAAGCTCAATTTGATTTGTTCATCTCATCTCTTACTGACCTCTAATTGATGTTGCCATCTGAGCCTGGTGACGCTCCCAATATAGCCCCTGTGTGTGTCCAATATTTGATTATGCGCCGGTCTCCATGGCACCACGGCCATTTGTGTGCTAATTAATTACCAGGCTTAAGAGCTTGTAGATAATTGGTGTGTACATCACCATCAATTCCATTAAAAAGAGCAATTATCACCTACCTTATGCAAATGATTGTTTCTGAGCTCCCCCCTCTCTCATCAAATTAAAAGGAGACACTTGAGTCGTGCCGCTCCGCACTAGATCACACTTTCAATATCATAATAATAGCAAGAAAAGATGTGGAGTCTCACCGATACATATGAAATGTCTATAATGAATCTTTAGAGACTAATAAATGAAAACTCTGAAAATATTCTGGTGGAAAAAACTGTCCAAAAAGAAGTTAAAATGCTCAAATGAATCGTAAGGCGCAAGCGTGCACATGCTAACTATCTCTGACCTTGGGCGACAGAGGTGCTTGAGCAGATCTATGGCTCTCTGTGATGGGAAAAGTAGGTCATGGAGTGCTATCGCTGGAAATATAAAAACTGAACATCTTTGCCGCATGAGACCCCAACAGGGAAATCAACGCTAAATAAATCAAGTACGTGCTGAGCCCAATAGAGCTACTCTCTCTCAGTCCAGAGAGATGTGACTGACCATTAGCGTATAAATACACATGCTTCTATCATGGCTCTTTTCACGCAGGAAGTGACCTCAAACCCTATGGTGACATATTAAGAACAATGACATATAAATCAAATGTCTTCTTTTGACCGACCTTTCTTAATTTTACTCAAGGTGAGAAAGAAGGTTCTGCTGGTTCATAATGATTAAATGTGCAACACTACAAAGATCATTTTCCCTTCAATTCATTTTTTTTTTCTTCACACATGCACATACTACTGCTTTTATTTAGTTTTTTCTGTAATTGTCCTTTGTTTTTCATTGAGCTGGTTTAATGATTTTTGGGGGCATTTGGGTGAATCTCACAAAACTTGTCTTTAACAGATCCAGGCCATATTTCATCACAAAATCAAAAGAAAGAAACAAGAAAAACACATAAGAAACAACACTTTTTTTTTTTTTTTGCATTATTTT